GCGGCTGTGGGGCAGAACCGCCCCTCACCCACAGACACAGCTCAGGTTTTATTTTCCAATACAGGAACAAGACAAACCCTGCGGGTGCTGGTGGCACCAGGTTCCTGGCACCAGGTTCCTGGGTGAGACAGGGGCTGCCCTGCCCTGGGACAGGCAGTGCAGGGAGCACAGCCTGAAGAGCCCGCTCGGAGCAGCAGGATCCCAGGATGGATGATCCCACACGCTCTCCCACGACCTCGCTCACACCAGGCTCCCAACTGCATCCAGCAGTGTCCCAGGAGCAGGTCAGGCTGCAGCTTTTCCCTGCCTCTCCCTGCTCACTCCATGGCCAGGGGCTGCTGCCCCCCAGGGCCGGGGCCTGCTGCCCCTCCACATCCCGCGTCTTGGAGTTCACCAGCTCCCTCCGGATCTCTGGCGAGATCTGCGGATGACTGTGGAATTTGAGCAGCTCGAGCAAAGCCTCCTTCTGCTCCGAGGAGAGGTCTTCCTTGTAGCGCTGGGCCAAGGCCAGGAGGCTCTGGTGCCACAGCACTGGCAACTGGCAGGCCCCGCTGGTCCGTGCGGAAGGCCAGGAAGTGGAAGACGAGGGCATCCACGACACGGAAGGGCAGGGCATACTTCTTGTCAATGAGCAGCCGGAGGAAGATGCTGTTGGCGCCGCTGTACTGCATCTCGGCGATCTTCAGCATGGCTGCGCTGCGGGGACGGAGGAAGCACCGAGGTGAGGGCAGGCCAGGCACCCAGGCATAAAGATGAGAAACCCAGCCCTGAGCCTTGAATCTCAAGCCCGAAGGGAGCTGAGCGACCCCCCCACCTCTGAGATGCCACAGAGGCTGAGGGACAGATCTGAGTGTCCCTAAAGAAAAACCTCTCCCTGCCCCAGCCTCCCAGCGCATTACCTGGAGTGGAGGACGGGGATGGAGCACTTGGTGAGGATGCTGCCGATAATGATGGCCTCCCGCAGTGTGCAGGTCCCTGACTCGCACAGGGGTATGAGGATCCCTGCGGAGGAGGAGAAGTCAGGCACTGCCAGTCTTAATGGCAGCAGGCAGAGTTGCGGGATGTGGGGCTCAGCCCCTTCTCCTGACCCCAGGAAAAAACAGCTCGTCCAGCAGCTGCTGTTATGGGGGTCACAGCATCTCCCTGCCACGCAACTAGCCCCAAATCACCTCAGGTTGACAGACAAGACCGAGATCAGACCTGAGAGTTCATAACCTGCCATCAACCTCCAAAAGAACCCAAATACCTGCCAGTACTTGCTGACAGCACCTGCGTAAGCCTACAGTACTCATGACCCTTCCACCCTGAACACTGCAAATGGATCCCTGGGGGTTTGGAAGCCGCCTTGTCCACCAAGGGGGACTCCCTGCATCTCTTTCACGTCTTCTCCTCCCTGCTGAGCCCCTACAGGGCCACGCCATGCAGGGTACAGCATGCAGTCACACTGGGCAGTGGTGTGCAACATCTGCCCCTGCTGAGCTTCCCAGATGGAGAGAGGCTCCCAGGTACAGACGGCAGCGCTGCAGGGAGTCCCTACCTTTGAACCAGGCTGCCGGCTTGAACAGAGCCTTCTTCAAAGCCATGTAGAGGTGAAAGTTGAGGCGCTTGTACTCGGCGATGTCATCCCTGACACGCGGCAGCAGCACCAGGTTGTAGAACCGCTGGGCCATCCTCTCTTTCAGGTTGGATGAAAATATCCTAGGAAAAGCAAAGCACAAAGTGAGGTATGGAGAAAGGCGGCCAAGCGGGGGACACGGTATTTTGTAAATCTGGTTCCAATGATGAAAAGAAAAAGCTAAAAAATCCCCCATCAGCATCTCCCAGAGATGATCTTACCTGGTGGCTTGGTACATGGCAGCTGCTGTCCACGTCTCTGGCTCTGTAATGTAGAGGATCTGCTCCCAGTTGGACAAGGCAGGAATGATTTTAAATGCCTTGGGAAGTTTCCCACTCCTGTATTTGGACAGCACCTTAAGACATGGATACAGGCCAGGCGGTGATATATTGGCACTAACAGCAGGACTGCGGGACTTTTCTCAAAATCATGAGAAACTTGTCCCCTCCCTTAGCATCTCTGGTAAGAAAGGACTGTCCCAGGCTCATCTTGAGCATGGTGCGTAGGAGACTGTCACTCAGAAACATTCTGGGCCCTTCAGTGACTGATACTATGCAAACTGCAGGTAATACACAGAAGTGCCTGCACAGAGTGAGGACAGGGACAGCCTTCTCTGAGGGAGAGTGGGCACAGAGGTGGCAGCTGTGGGGGTCAGCATGGCATTCACTGGGCCCCAGGGCACAGCTGCTTTGGCCTTACCTCTCTGACACCCCTGTAGACCTCTAGGACACGGGGATCGAGCTGGGGCATGGGGCAGCCCGATATCTCCGACAGTGCCGTCTCCACCTCCGTCTGCTTCTCCGTGATCTTCTCCATGATGATGTCCGCCAGCGTGCGCCTGGAGGATGCAGGACGGATGCAAGTCAGGGGCTGTGCTG